GCAGTGGAGAGTTAATGTCAATATCTCTAAGACCTTTAAATTATTAAAATTTGCTTTTTGGATATTTAATCAATTATGAAAATATGTTATTATGTATATACTTATGTTTTAATAACATATTATATCAAGTTGTTTTAAGCCTACTTTTGAATTTATAAGTTTAAATTTTTGTTTAAATGTACCTACACCAAATTTAATCTAAACTAACCTGCTACATATTTTAATCATTGCAATGAAACAAACACAAAGAATATATTTCGCGTTTCCTGAATCTTTTATTTCTTTTTGGCTCATCCTGCTACCTTTTGCTCTTTATGTATTATAGAGCATCTCAAATGAATGCGGTACTTCCATTAGGTTTCTTTGAAAAAGAGTTTCCATACTTACTTAATCAATGTTTAAAAAGTTCAAAAGAAAATTTAAAATATTTAACGATGTACTTTTGAAAAAAAATATTATGGAATATAATTAGATTTAATATAAAAATAATAAATGAAATTTGAAAAGTTAACAAGTAACATTTCATTACTAGATTATACAGGGTGTACCATAATTAATTTTACATTAGCTAAAAGGTGATAGGTAAAATCAAGATTTTGATAAAAAAAGTGCACGTTTTCATCCTATAGGATATTTCATTAATATTTTTTGCACTTATGTTTATGATATACCTTAAACCAATAAGATGACATTCATGAAATTTGATGTGCGTTTAGTATTTCGCATTCATAATAACAAATTGTTATAAAATTTAACATTGACGATAGATGGACTCACTTACAACAACATTGGTTGTTTAAACGTAAACGTAATTGTAAAAACGATTACATAGAAGAAAAAAAGACAATTTGAGCAAAAGCAATTGGAAAGCACAGAATGGCTAAGAAATCAAAATGAAACTCGAAAGTTCTACAGAAATCTAAACAAAATGCGCAAAGAGTTTAATCCAAGAATAAGGAGCTGTAAGACGCAGAAGGAAACATCCTAAATGATACGGCCTCAATCCTAAACAGATGGGTTGAATTTTTCGATGCAAAATTTAATGGCCATCATATCGAAGAAGCAGATAACACCCTAGCAAATCGAAATGATTGGAATCCTTTCAACCCAAACGAAAGACCACCTACCATCGAAAAGGTTGCCCAAGCCATTAAAAAGCTTAAAATAATAAATCACCAGGAGTTGATCAATTTGCAGTGAGCTCTACAAGAATGGTGGCGATGCCCTACTACAGACACTGCATAAGCTTTACTTCTTGTTTGGCATAATGAGACCATGTCTTGTGAATGGTCTCAAGGCGTGATATGCCCGCTACATAAAAAAGGTGACCAGCTCCAGTGTGAAAACTATAGAGGTATAACCCTGTTAACAACTGCTTACAAAATACTAGCAAATATTCTCTACGAAAGGTTGCAAGTTTACACAGTGGGCATAGTTGGTAAATATCAAGTTGGATTCACTCCAGAAAAATCAACAATTGACCAGATTCATTCAATAAGACAGATTCTCGAGAAAACATTAGAATTCAATATTGAAACCCATCACCTATTCGTCGACTTCAAGGCCGCATACGACAGTGTCAAGAGAACAGTGCTATACCAATCAATGCATGAGTTTGGTATACCAGAGAAACTTATCCGACTAACGAGAATGACAATGTCTAACTTAGAAGCCACTGTTAGAATACAGGGAGAGAGTTCTAGATCCTTTGAGATAAAGGATGGACTCAGTCAAGGAGATGCTCTGGCTTGCCTCCTATTTAATATTGCCTTAGAAAAGGCAGTCCGAGATACACGAATTAGGATGGCGGTACTATTTACAATAGATCGATACAAGTCTTAGCGTATGCTGATGACATTGACATAGTAGGGCGTAGCAAGCGAGATGTTGAGCAATATCTCCTAGAATTGGAAACAGCGGCGAAACAGGTCGGTCTAGTCATCAACGAAGACAAAACCAAGTACATGTTGGTTACAAAGGATCCGATAGCAAATGAGGAACGAGAAACAGTCTTTGGAAGTGATACCTTTGGACGTGTTGACAACTTCACATACCTTGGGTCGCTTTTGACTGCTACCAAATAAAACAAGCGAAGAAATCAAAAGACGAATAAATCTTACAAATAGGGCATACTATGGACTCCAAAAGCATTTCCACTCAAGAAACATTCAAAGAAGAACTAAAATTATTATATACAAAACATTGCTGAGGCCGGTCCTCACATATGGAGCAGAAACATGGACACTAACGCAGAAAGATGAAAAACTTTTGGGAATATTTGAGCGTAAAATACTCAAAATATTTGGAGCTGTAAACGACCAAGGGCAGTGGCGCAGAAGATATAATTTTGAATTGTATCAGCTCTTTGATGAGCCAGATGTCATAACGTTCATTAAAACACAGCGACTTAGATGGGCTGGACACATAATACGAATGCCAGAAAATACCATTGCTAAAAAGCTAACCACAGGAACACCTGTAGGAAAAAGAAGTAAAGGCCGACCGCGAATAAGGTGGTTAGATGGAGTAGAAATCGACTTACGAATATTAAAAATCAGAAGATGGCAACATGTTGCCAAAAACCGAACAGAATGGCGACGAATCTTAGAGCAGGCCAAGATCCACAGAGGATTGTCGAGCCAAATAATGATGATGATAGATGGACTCACTTACAACAACATTGGTTTAACAATTGGTTTAAGATAATAATTTTATTATTTAGACTGTGTACATATTATCCGGTAAAAATATTGAAATAACATTCCATATATATTTCAAACAAAATTAAAAAAGCAGAAACTTCCCACCGCAAAACATTAATTCTGTACGGAAGTGAAGCTTTTTTGAAGTCTGTCTTACTTATTAAAAACATTCTTTAGAATCAGACACACCAGTATATAAATGGTTGCGAAAACTCGTGAGACTCTATTCTTACTCAATATACTTTCACATATTGCCCATGACATGAATGTCGAAATATATACCTGCATTATAGACTACCGTAAAATTTGTATTTACTTTTAACAACAGAAACTAGGTGAAATACTTAGAGCAACGAGTATAGATGTGGGTGATAGATCTGTCATCATAGACCTGTATTGACATTAGATAGCTTAAGTAAAAGTAGAGAACAACATGTTGAAACAGATATCCAAAAGAACAGGTGTACAACAGGGATGTAAATTGTTAGAACTTCCCTTTAATCTGTACTCGGAATACATATTGGCACATGCTTTTAGAGGTAATAGCAAAGGAATTATAATCAACGACAAAACAACTAATAATAATATAAGATATGTCTATGATACAGCAGCCTTGTCAGCAGTCGTCCTTGTCAGCAGCCTCCCTTGCTAGCAGCCTGCCGAAACTGCAGAAACTTATAGATGGCATTGTGAAATATAACGAGCGTTATGGTCTATATAGTTAAAAACATCACCAAAACGAAACGTGTGGTTTCGCCATACATGATCTGAATACATGACAGAATAGTTGAACTAGTGTCATTCATCAGATACCCGGGTGCACTAATAAATAAAAAGCACGAAACAGGTCATATTTATAAGTGAACAGTTAGGAAGACGTTTATTCAAAATAAAATACATCTTTATCATGCAAGATGTAGACATGAGACTTTGATTCCGAATGCTGCTATCTTATGTATTACCAATCCTCCTCTACGGCTATAAGAGTTGGACTCTTAACCCCTCTTTATAAAACCGCATCGAAACTTTTAAAATGTGCCTTTATAGGAGAAAACTGCGTATTCCTGGACCAAAAGAAGAAAGAACGCCCAAGTTCTTAATAGAATGCAAAAGAACAAGGATCTATTGACAACGACCAAAAAGGCGTAAACTAACCTATTTTGGGCATGTAATGCTGAGACATAGATAATTGAGGAAAACATTTAGAGGAAAAGGTCAATAGGAAGAAGATGCAATTTGTGACTCAAGTACCTGCGTTACTGGCTGAAGAAACTTCGAAGAAAGCAACGGAAATAAAATAATAGGCTTAAAAAAATACATAAAAAATGATAAATTGATTGACTAAAGAAACTGTGACAGCAGCTGACTTTAGAACTTAGCAAAAACAACAAATGACTTAAGAACTCGAAACACGAGGAATAATAAATTATAAATCATTAAATTAATATAAATACTCTGTTTAAAAACACCTTCAAAGCTCAAGAATAAAAATTCTGCAGGAATAATCAAATATTAAATGAACTTTGAGGGTATACAAGGCAACTATCGAACACGGTGATTAATTTAATCTTGCCCAAGTACTTCGATCAATAGATCATCTTCAGGGGCATTTCGTCAGTTGTGGCCTATCTGACATAAGGAGAATGTCATAAATGTAAAATTTGGACATAATAATACAAAATACAATACACAAAGACAAACACTTTAAAATTTTTTTTAAGGAGAAGCTACATGTTGTATAGAAGCCGGAGACAGTCATTCTGTCTCCGGCTTCTATACAAACATGTAGCTTCTCCTTAAAAAAAAAATTTTAAAGTGTTTGTTTGTCTTTGTGTAGTGTATTTTGTATTGTTATGTCCAAATTTTTACATTTATGACATTCAAAGTTAAGAAGAAGAAAATATTAAAAATTGTAAAAATAAATTGTTAAATAAACTTGTAAATTATTACAGTGTACTTTATTTTATCAGTGTATTAAATTTTAGTTTTAATAAATCGATCCATTGTATATAAATTTCCATTTCCAAAAGGATGTTTAGTTCCTACTTTTTTATATAATTTTATTATCTATTTAAATTGTATTAATTTACATTGCTAGGCTAACAGAGATGTATATATAACATATTTTTAAGTTTTAATTGCAGATATTTTACCTAACATCCCTAAATATTCTAAATATTTAAATTAAAACCCTCTCTTTCCATATATGTTTACCGACTGTGATGATAAAAGCAAAGAATAGGGGAACCTGGCCCAAAATAACATACTAGGGTAAAATGACACATCCGGTGTATCTCTAACTTGGCAACATGGCTATGCGCTAAGAAGTTTTATACAAGAGCATCACGTGGTGCATAATTGAATGTTCTAACGGGCGTCGCGATCAGTTCAGACGTTTAGTTGTTAAAAGGTGGTTTGTGCTTTATTGAGTACCAAAATATTTTGGTAGGCGACGTATACTTCGCTATAAAACGTTTAAAACTTTAAAATTTTATATCTCTGTTAGTTCCAGTAGGTATTGTTATTCATATTAACAGAAACATCATGTTTGGAAGCTTTGTTTGTTTAAACAAAAAATTTATTGTAAAAAACGTGTTCTTGTTCACACTTGGATAAAACGACATATTAAATACTCGGGTAAAATGACATAGTATGTCATTTTGCCCATATAAATTTTAATAATAATATGGTAGGTAGAATATTAATGTATGGTATTTTCTTTTTTAGTATGGTGGGACACTACGAAAGGAAAAGTACCGGTAAAGGAAAAGTACGAAACTACGTTCTCTGTAGAATTAGAAGAGTCCTCGTAACACATAAAACTCCTAAATCAAGTTTTTTTGGATTATCTGTGATGACGTTCGTTCTTTAGCCTACCAGTTAGCAGATCGAAATGGAATAGTACACCGATTTAACACAACCACTAAGATAGCTGGTTGGGATTGGTTACGAGGGTTTCGGTCTAGACATTCCGATATATCCCTTAGAAAACCCGAGTCCACGTCTGCAGCAAGAGCGCAATCATTCAACAGGCCGCAAATTGCCAATTTTTTTAAACTTTTAGAGGATACTATTACAAATAACAAAATTAATCCTACACGCATATGGAATATGGATGAATCAAGCCTATCCACGGTTCAAAAACCCGGCAAAATATTTGCAACCAAGGGTCGGAAGCAAGTGGGCCTAATTACAAGTGCGGAAAGAGGGCAGCACATAACGATGGTTGCTTGCATTAGCTCAGTGGGGAATTATGTTCCACTAACACTTATATTCCCCAGGAAAAATTGGAAAAAAGAAATAATAGATATAGCGCCTTTAGAAACTTTAGGAATAGCACAGGAAACAGGATGGATAACAGGCGAAGTATTCCTAACATGGATAAACATTTAAAGAATATTCTAATCTTTCTATAGAAGACAAGGTTATGCTGTTGCTTGATGGGCATGCGAGCCATAAAAACATTAATGTTTTAACTTTTGCCAAGAACATGGAATA